TTCCCTAAAGATATCCATGTAATCAGTAGCAATCACATGATCTGATGGATTAGCTGGTTTGCGCCTTTTAGAAAAGGTTTTCATCCTTTTGTCATTACCTTTTCATATTTACAACAGAAGACTGCTAGAAGTGCACAAACAGGAATAGCCCAGTTTCCATGATTAACTGCTCTCATTATGCAGGAAGCATTCTGGCTGCCGTAAACAAATCACGTCAAAGCCAGCCCATCAAAGGCAGCTCTGTGCACGGACAGCAGGGCCATACGGAACAAAGCTTGCTTCTGGTGGAGACAGAACTAGCCAGTGCGCAGCTGCAGGGGAGCTAAGCACCCACTCTCCAGGCTGCACAGCCATCACTACATTATCGAGAAGGCCCTGAGAAGGCCCTGGGGCTCATGGCCACACAGAGAGAGACACATGTTTTTAAATCAACCTAAGAAAAGAGCTTCTCCTCTTGCCACCAAAGAGCATGCTATGAAAATACATGAAACTGGACTGAAGTTACAGTACTGACTCATAAGCTGAACACCACGGCAAATTACAGCCTAAAGCCTAGTGCCTATGCTTTACTTTATTGCCAGCCTCTAACGTAAATAATTCTCCGGGCAACTGTCTCAAACAGAGAAACTGCAAATTACTCTGCCGTGATAACAAGTCAAACTGTACTTGGTCCTAAAAGTACATTAGGCAAATTATGCACAGTGTTTTCACAATGAAAGAGAAAAAGAAACAGCCATAGCCACCAATACCGTTGGTGTTTACATCTCTGTTGGCATATGGGATTGTCTAGAAAGTTCCATGCCAATACCAGGCCTCACCACAATCACAGGAGACCACAACTTGTCTTTTCATCTTGGGCTGGCGTTACCCTTCCAGCCACAATACGCTTAGTTTTAATTTTCATTTTCCTTCTAATAGCAGAGCTAATTCTGCTGCACTTAGGGACTTTCCCAACTTGCCTTGTAACATGAAAATTAAAGTTCAGCTTCTTAAAATCCTCAGGAAAAACAAATGCACATTTCTCACTATTTCCTAAACCAAATGGTCCAATCTAATAATTTAATTTAGTGTTCTTGACTCTGCTCAGCTAGTGCTTTTAAAACTCAAGTTAAAGAATTTAATCAGAGCTTCAATCAAGAGCACTGCAATGGCAATTATAAAAGAAACCAGAGACAACAGCATAACTTATATCTATTCACCAGGACTCACGAGAAGAGCAAGAGAAACAGGCTTTCTCTGAACAATCATGCCAAGAAGACAGTGTACTCCATGTTACCAGTGTACATGGCCCTCCCCTACCTCTAGGAGCCTACCAAAAGTTCTCCTCACCTATGGAACACTCCGGGCACAGTTCCGACCACTTGCTGAACACCCTTCAGACAGTTTCCTCTCCCCGACTGGGCTCCAGGCAGCCCTGGCCTCTCTGTGTTCTTCAATAACCAAGTGCTGTTCACCTCTTGGCTTTCATTTTTGGTTGTCAGACTAGCCTTTAACGGCTGAGCCACCTCTCCAGCTCTCACCTCTGCGCTTTTCATAGTCACCATTTTCTTCTGGCCAAAGTGTTTTCCTGACAATTATTCTTTGAATGGTTATTCTACATATCGTGTCTCAACTGAAACATATCACTTCTCGAAAGAGGCTGAATTACCATCCCTGAATTGCTTATAACTTCAGTACTGTTTTCTCCACATGATGGTCATTCAGATGAAGTATAAAAAAGTTACACCGCCTTTGCAACACATCTGGATTTTACTGTTTATATTTTTCACCCCCAGCACTCTAAATCATTATATTGCCTGTTCCATCAGGTGAGGTGTGTGTATAAAATGAAGCAGAATTAGGGTCTTTAAAGACAAGTATTAGTAGACAAAAAGAGTTGCATGGGAAGACAGACACACCTGAAAGCATGGGAGTGGACTTCTCCAAGAGTCACCAACGAATATAATTTTGAACACATAAAAATTATTCAAGTATCCTAATTTAGAATAAAATGCACTATAATTTTCCTTGTTAATGTCATTGGAATTTTTTCTTTTTCATTTAATGATCTCCTACTTGGTAGCAGGGTCTTTAAGAAGAATGCATATTTCATGAACAAGACATATCTGTATTTTCCCCAATGCTGTTACCACACTATGTATGCTTTTGACGTGGAATATTAAGGCTCCTATAGTGATCCAGGGAAACACTAAAGGAAACCTAAAGTATTGATAGTGACAATGAAAAAACAAGCAAATAGTTTGTTTATCAGAGGTAGAATAAATTTGTATATCAGAGGTAGAAATAACCAGTTAGTTGACTAGAATGGGAAATTAAGTCAAGTTTCACCTTGGTGATACGACTGACTGAAATGACTAAACTGGGGAAGAAACAGATTTAAGTATTAAGAAGAAAAACAGAGACAGGCCTGGTAGCACATGCCTATAATTCTAGTATTTGTGAGGTAGAGGATCAGAAGTCCAAAGCCATACTCTACTACACAGAGCTAGAGGCCAGCAGGGATAACAGAGACCCTGTAGGGATGAGGGGGAAAGTGGGGAGGCAAGGAAAGGGGGGAGGGGCGGGCAGGGAGAGGAGAGGGAGAAGAGGGGGGTGTGGTGGGGGAAAACAGGAACAGGGTTGTTTCTGGATATGATGAACTTGAAATGCTTATTAGGTATCCAAACAGCAATGCCATCAAGACCACAAGCTACCAAAAGTAGAGAATAAAGAAGAGATAATAACAACTAGAACTGTGTTTGGGAGTCATCAACAAACAATTTGCTAGTCGTTGGTCAGGACTGGATCAGTGAGAGAGATTAAATCACAGGAAAGGCAGCTTGAGCCCTAAGATTTAGCAACATGACAAACGGGCTTTCTTCTTCTCGTTTCCTCTATTATTAACTAATTCATAAAGGTATTTTTCAATGACAACATAATACAGCCATTCCTCTGTAACAACAGGGGATCGGTTCCAGGAACCTAAGGATGCCCATCTTTCTTATATAAAATAGTGTATATTTGAGACAACCTAGATGTGTCTTTCCATTTCTTTAACTCATCTCTAGAGTAATCAGAACAAATGCATCACACTTTTGAGGTAATAATATGCTCCCCAATCTCTCCAAGTTCAGTATAGAGGTGCTCATCACAAGCATGTAACTTGTGGTTCCTGAATTGTGGGTGTGGCGTCCACAAATGTAGGGCCACAGATATGGAGTTAAGTATGCTTTCATTAAAAACATCTTAACTGGGCCAGCCAGTAGTGGCACATGCCTTTAATCCCAGCACTTGGGGGGGCAGAGGCAGGTGGATCTCTCGAGGTTGAGGCCAGACTGGTCTACAGTGAGTTCCAGGACAATCAAAGCACACAGGGAAAAAAAAAAAATTAACTGAAAACAGAAAAAAATTCAAGTTTCTCCTATATTCTATATGTGTATTATAGACAATTTTAATTTTCATATTCAACTAGACTTGCAATATTTACAACATAATCTCCAAGACAATCTTTGGGACTCCCTCCAAGAAAAATAAATGCCAGATTCTAGCCTCAAGCTGCTGTATTTACACAGAGAGAAAAAGGAGAAAAAGAAATGGAACAAAGAACAAAAAAGCTCCCCTTCTGAAAGTAGCAGGAATAATCTCACAAAACACAACAGTAACCACACTTCCAAAATGATCCATATTCAAACAGTGACTCCTTTAATTTTATAATATATACCACAGACTTTCCTTAGTTATAACCAAACAGAATGGAGCACAAGGAATGCTATTGAAAACCTCAGATCAAAAAGATATATATATATATTTTTTTTGGGGGGGGTTGAGGCAGGGTTTCTCTGTGGCTTTGGAGGCTGTCCTGGAACTAGCTCTTGTTGACCAGGCTGGTCTCAAAATCACAGAGATCCGCCTGCCCCTACCTCCTGAGTGCTGGAAGTAAAGGTGTGCGCCACCACCATCTGGCATCAAAAATAGTTAACAACTCTTCCTTTTCCTGCTGCTCTGGTTTCTATAGACACCAACAAAGATAACTACTAGACAAATTAGGATGCAGCTTTTAAACACCTTCTATTCAGAGGAGAGATGTGAGAAACTGCTGCCTGAGTGAGAACTGGCAGCAATGAAGTCACTGTGTGCTTGGGACCTAAGTTTAGATTAAGGTACACATGATCTCCGTAACACCTAATTGTCACTCCACCAGACTCCCTGAAATACAACAAAGCCCAACCTCAAGTGAACACAGAAAAAGCCTAAATTACATTTTGAACTACTTTTCCTATCATATCACTTCAAATTCATAAATTCACAATAAAATTTTTCTCCAACATCATTTACTCTGTGTCAAGCTAATCCACATTCTGATGTGAAGCTACTTTCCCACTTGAGGGAAAAAAAATTATTATCATTGGGAATAGATTGTATTCTTCACAAATACAGTTTAGGTAGATGCTACTCAGTAAAACAAAACACAACTTATCAACATTACTAAAAAAGGAAGGAATCACAAAATCAAACCAATGCCAATTCTCTGTGGATAGACTAATTCCAACCTCCCTGAATTCTACTAGGCCTAAGCAAAGATGATTACTGTAGTAAAATTCCTGCTTGTTTCTTCTCGAATATTGTCAACTCAGAATCTGCACACTGGTCAAGAAGGCCAATCAACCACCTAATCTCTACTAAAGGCAGCAAGATAAACTAATTACTCCAACTGTAAGAACACATTTCACACATGAAACAAAGCACAAGAGGGTTATCAACCATTAAATATGAGGACAAAAAATATGGCCAGAAACATAATCCCTTTATACTACAGGCCCGTTATGAAATCTTCACAACTCCAGAGCTTCAGAGAAGGTGCAGACCCTGGACTGAGATTACACCCTGTAGTTTACAAGCTATAAAATCAACGCTTTTAAAATTAAAGATGCATACTTGGGTTGCAAACACACTCGGTGTCTAACACTTGACTGAGACATCTCAGAAATGTTTACGAGCTGGAAGAACTTAATTACTCTTACCTTTGCAGATACTCAAAACCATACCGCCCGAATTTTGTACTTCATCAAATTTGGCAAGTATCATTTCTAATCTGGGAATAAAGAATAAATTGTTTTTACATAGAGATGAACAGAAACAATTTCCTTTACCACCTCACTTAGAAAAAAGATTCTAGGGATTTATCTATACAATTGACTCAAAGTAGACACAAACTCTGCTCTCTTCATTCATTTGTAGAAGCCAAATATAGGCCTGCTTCTACATGTGTAGCTATCTCAATAAAAAAAAAAAAACCAACAACTTTCACACAAAGTAAATACATCAAAATTATTTCTCCAAGCTCAGCAGAAACTTTCTAGTTCCATCCTTGTAACAAATCCAAGACTCAGACATCGTTCAAAAGTCTGTGAAACTCATGCTAAGGAGACAAAAGGCAAACACAAGATACAAAAAGGCAGAAACTACAGTGAGGCAGGTCCAGCTGCATCTGAGACTTCTCCCACAACACCAATTCCACTAAATTTATATTCACAGTAATTACTCTTTCCACACTTCTGCTAATACTTAAAAAAAGCAACAACAACAAACAACACCCCTTTCTTATTATAAATGCAATGCACAATCATTACAGAAGAATGTTAGGAACACAGCTCACACAAAGAAAAAAGTACCAGCACATTTGCTGACCATACAAAGAATTTACTGTCCTAAAGCATTTACATTCACATAGATCTTCCTTTGGGATAAAACTGCATCTTGCTGACAATATAGTTTGCTTTTTCTTTAACTTTCCAGCCTATCATTCTACGACTTCTTCAATTCATGACATATGTTTGAGCAAGGAAAGAGAACCACTGTTCTATGGCTTTTAACTACCAAATGTTTTTTTCTTTGGCTTACTCTTATATTTCTTTCACAATCCTACTTCCTAAAACATTTTATTAAGTCTTAGAAATCCACATCTTATAATTTCTTACTTAAACAGTGAGTCTACAGACACTTTTTGAAATGCCAATATCTAACTTTAATAAGAAATAAAAGAGTCAGGCAGTGGTGGTGCATGTCTTTAATTGCAGCACTCAGGAGGCAGGGAAAGATAGATCTGAGTTTCAGGCCAGTCTGGTCTACAGAGTGAGTTCCAGGACAGCCAGGGCTACAAAGAGAAAGCCCATCTCAAACAAACAAACAAACAAATCAACAAACAAAAAAAACAAAATTTTTAAAAAGTACTATATATATTTGTTGTTAAAAAGAAGAACAGAATAGAAAAGAAAAAAAGAAAGGGGGCTGGAGAGATAGCTCAGAAGTTAAGAGGACTGGCTGGCTGTTCTTCCAGAGGGCAGTGTTTGATTCCCAGCACCTAAATAGCAGCTCACAATCAACTTTAACTCAGTCCCAGGGAATCTGATGTCCTCTTTTGACCTTCACAGGTACTGCATACACATGGTGTAAACACATACATGCAGGCAAAACACCCATACAAATAAAATAAAAGGAAAAGAAAAAATCTATTTTTAGCTAAAAACTCCTGGGATTCCTTATAAAGCAATTTCTAAACCTTAGCCTCACCTCCAATCCCAATTGATCCAGTAAGTACAACTATGTGTGTATCTGCAGAAGAAAGACTGGGGCTGCTTCATTCTACAACACAGCATCTTCCACAGGGTTGAGCAGATTAAGTAGGTAAGGTGTGAGTGTGAGATACCAGGGAGCACTGAGAATGGAGCCTGACACCTCAAGACGAGTCCAGAAGAGCCAGGGACAGAAGGGCAAGGACTTAGAAAAGCTGTTTGTGGAAAAAGCAGTGTAAGGCCATGAGAAAATGAGAATTCATGAAAACCTGGGTTCCCTCAGCAACACAAAAAGAAAACAAGAATCATGAGACCAATACTTTTCTAAGATTAGGAAAATGGGAGACCTCAGAATGAGTGGGGAAGGTGGGTGGTGGGTGTAAACCTGTAATCCCAGCACTTGAGAGGCAGGAGCAGCAGGGGCTCCCGGTGGGACACAGCTGTCAGGTGAGTCCACAACCAACTTGGGCACAAGAACCCAGCCTGTCTCCAACAAACAGCAAATAGAAAGTTCAGAAAGGGGTAGCATGGAGTTAAAATGAGGTAAGTAGAACATGGAACAAGGAATAGACATAAGCAGCAATACCAGGAAGAGGAAGCAACTGTGACAGTTGAGTATTATTAACAGGAATGGCGAGAAGTGATGAAGAGGGAAGAGAGGAAGGAGAGCCTCCAAAGGTCTAGGACTAGGTTAGTAGGAAGTGAGAAGATGCTTACTTCACACTTCCTCTTACGCCAGTTCTCACTTTCCTCCCACAACTATCCTAGTGTCTCCTTGGCCTCCTCTCTTCCCAATCATTCTCCTTCACCAACACTCACAGTAAACCACAATGTAACCTCAGTGCTTACTAAAAAATATTTAATCTCCTGTTCAAAAACTTTATCAAAGACAAACTTTACATCTTTAAAGCAAACAAATGAACAAATAAAAGCACAGGATAATTTTCTACATAGACTTCATTGAAGATTCCAACCCCCATCATTAAACTTCAAACACATATTTTAGATTTTTTTTTTTTTTGAGACAAAGTCTCACTATGCAGCCACAGCTGGCCTGGCACTCCCTCTATAGGCCAGGGTGGCCTTAAACTCACATAGGTCTACTTGCCTCTGCCGTCTGGATACTGAGATTAAAGGCATGTGCCACTATACCTGACAAACTCATTCTTTTTCTATTTTACATGCATTGGTGTTTTGCTTGCATGTATGTCTGTGTGACAGTGTTGGATCCCCTGGAACTGGAGTTACAGACGGTTGTAAGCTGCTATGTGGGTGCTGGGAATTGAGCCTGGGTCCTCTGGAAGAGCAGCCAGTGCTCTTAACCACTGAGTCATCTCTGCAGCCCCCAAAACCGATTCTTAATAGAATACCTTTCATGTATAATCTAATGAAAAATGAAAGAGCTAAAAGAAGACTCTAGGCCCTTTGAACAATTGTGTGTGGGGGGTGGGAGCAGCTAATTGAATGGAAGGGAAACAGCAAAGACAGGGCTGTCCATCTGAAGAGCCAGCCACTGAGACTCTGGGAAGGTTCAGATTTACAGGCTAAGGGAAACAGACCTGGAAAAAGCAACTCTAACTTAAGTGCAGTCTCAGGTTCCAAGTTAAGACTAGTAAAAGACAATTGGTATTCACAGTCACCCATGTGCTTTGAGCTTTACTGAGTGAGACTTCAAATACCATATAACTCATGGCATTGAAGTGTGTCTTCTAGAGCTGAATGTAGCTCAGTAGTAGAACACTCATGTAGCATGTGTGAGGCCTTGGGATTTATCCCCACTGTCACAAAAAGAGAAAACAAAATGTACAACTGTGGTTTATAGTATAAGTCCTGAGTAATGCAACCATTACCACAATTTTTACATTTTTATCAACCCAAGGAACATCCACATACCCATTAGCAGTAGTTGTTCCTTCTCTATTTTCTCTCCTCAGTCCTAGGCAATTATTAATCTACTTCCTATTGCTATATCTGACCTATGAATTATCATATCTGGTGATTTATTTCCAATGGAAACATAATGTGGAGCTTTTGATGACTGGGTTCTTGATATTCCACGGTATGGATATTTACTGCACTTACAGATCCACTCATTAGTTGATAGACGTGTGAAAGGGAGGTGTTTGTATGGTTTTGTGACCTTGACTAATGCTGTAAGGAACACCTACATAGAGGCCTTTGTAGAGACATGTTTTCCTATCACTTGCTGGGTCATGTGATACTGCTACAGTTGACATTCTGAAGAGTTATACACTGTTTCCCCAGCTGCTTTATTAGTGCATGTTCTCAGGAAAGTCTCATCCTTTCACACTTTAGCTATGCTACGGTGATGTGAAGTTTGCAGCTTTGTTGTTTTGTTTGGGGATATTTCTTTGAGGTATGTAGCTTTGATCAGAATTTCTTACATAGCTAAATGATAGTGAGGATCATTTCGAGTGTTCATGACTATCTGTATATTCTCTTTTTAAAAGTATTTAATTTGGATCCTTTAAAAATTGCATTACCTGTCATTTTACTCCTGAGTTGTCCTTTATATAATCAAGATACAAGTTTCATAGATTTGGAAATATTCCCATCACATATGGGGTTTCTTATAATGTCCTTTGAGGCATATTTTGAATTATTACAAAGTAAGTTTTTATTAAATATATCAACATATTTTTAACTAATTCTCTTATTTTGAGGATAATTTATATAATTACATCATTTACTCCTTCCATTTCCTCCTTCCAAAGCCTCCCATATACCCCCCTCCTTGCTTTCTTTCAATTTATGGCTTTTTCATTAATTGTTGCTATATTTATATATGTATATGAATACACATATATATTCTTTTTTTTTTGGCTGATGGGGAATGTCCTTTTGAATGCTGTGAATATATGTTCCTCTTATTGGTTGATGAATAAAGCTGTTTCAGCCGATGGACAGGCAGGATGTAGCCAGGCAGGAAGTATAGGCAGGGCTACCAGACTAGGAGAATGGGGGGAAGAGGAACACATAGAGTGAGTCACCAGGGAGATGCCATGTAGCCACCGAGAAAGGAAGAGGCTCAGGCATCACGGGTAAGCCAAGACCATGTGGAGGAGATACACAGATTAATAGAAATGGGTTTAATAATTAAAAGAGAGCTAGCCAATAAGAAGCCCAAGTCATAGGCCAGTTTATAATTAATATAAGCCTCTGTGTGTTTATTTGGGACTAAAGGGCTGCAGGACTGGGTGGGACAGAAACTTCCCTCTACATTTGGTGTTTTGAGACTGGGTTTCTCTGTGTAACTTTGGAGACTGTCCTGGAACTCACTCTGTAGACCAGGCTGGCCTCAAGCTCCCAGAGATCCACCAGCCTCTGCCTCTCAAGTTCTGGGATTAAAGGTATGTGACACTACTGTCAGGCACATATATATTCTTAAATACAATCTGCTTGGTCTGTATAATATTACTTGTGTGTATGTTTTCAGGGCTAACTTAAAACAGGTATTGGATAATTGATTGGTGTGTTCCTCCCTAGGAAGACTATTTTC